ACATACACTGCATGCCTCAAGGAAGACTGACATCTGCTTCCTCACAGCTGTTACGTCTCCTCCATGCCCAACTAGGTGATCTTTAAGGTCCCTTCCCAACCCAAACTACTCTATGACTCCATGACATGCTCTCTCAGTGGTGGGCCCAAGGCACAGACCCAACGTCAGAGAGAGGCAACTTTGAGCTTGACATTGTGCAAATTACTGCAACATTCCCCAGAAGGTCTCCAGGAACCGAGTTGGATTCACCAGCTCCACAGGCTGTTAATAGAGGTGTGAGGAGAGATGAAAGAAAACCCCATATCCTAGACCTTCATGCCTCAATGCCCTGAACAGGCACTTCAGAGCACATTTGCAGTAAACAATAATCTTATATATAAATTAAATATTTCTTTCTAGGTGTTTCTTGTCAAATGTGTCCCCCTTTATCACAGGATTAGGGGTGGCTTTTCTTGTCCCAGTTCTAGTCCCTGACTTGCATTTTCTCCCTCTGCTCAAGCCCATTGTGTGTGCTGGGTCTTTTCTTTTGTCACAGCATGATCCAGCTGTGAGAGACGGGGCCTTTCGTGCTCCAGGAACAGCCTGAATGTGCGAAACTACCACACTGCTTTTTAGTCCTACCCATATGATTAACATCAGATTCTCCCGGTACTCAGTTATCTTCAGTTTTACTCACTCTCTCCTGGCTCTTTTATCAGCAATCACACAGAGTTAGCTAGGTCATGCAGGTCTTCTATTTCACCGTGACAGGTTTGCATCAAAGAACCTTTTTTTTGTTGATGTGACATTGATGCCATTCAACTCCAGCATGAAACACTGCCTTTGGTCTAACAAAAACAGCCACGAGAGTCACCATGTGGCAGTCATATCCAACCAAGCTATCTTGATTTCCAAAGGCACAAAAGTGCTGAAATGTCAGGCACCTGAGCATTCCAGTGCCAGCCAATAGAAGGATAAGGAATATAAAATTTCAAGGACAAAGATGAAGCTGTCATCTTTTAACATTATTTTGCTTCCTTCACTGAATGATATGCATATATCCACAATATCTAAATTAATTTCATTTAATATGAAAAGAAGACCTTTTACACAATTCAAGAGAACAAGAAGAAGGCAGCTGTGCTACTGATTTTTATTAAATGCATCTCAGATTTTCTTATTTGCCATGTTAAAGGATATATTCTTACCAATATTATGTAAAGAAACTTTGCAAAATAGATCTAGTGGAAGGTTAAATACAACAATTTCAGTCCTTAAAAGAGTTTTAGACAATTGGCTGAACTCTGCATGACAGCTGCTTTCCTTAACACCAAATACAAATGACTCCATTACCACCTAGAACAGAATAAGCAAGATGAATGCCAGTCCTCTCTATATATTCAGATCTCAAACACTGTAAGCAAAGACACTGCTTTTCAGATTTAACTGAAAGTCCAATATTTTTCTACTGAAAAGCATGAAGTAGAAAACAAAATGAGTGGCTTTACTATGAGCTATATTAATAACCTCCAAAGGAGTTAACAATACCTCATGCACTACAATTTTAATGTTAGTTTTTGTAAAGCTGAGACAATGAGGAACTTCATAAAAGTAAGTCAAGAAGACAGATGCCTTTCCATTGTTAAAGTGCAAAAAAACCTGTGAATTTTGTCTTTGGTTATTTTTCCTTTATGTTAGTTTACATGCTTATTTTAGCTTCAGGTTTTCAAACGAACTCAAAACTCCATCAATGGAAAACAGAATTTTGCCCAATTTCAGCATAAAACGAAGCATGCCATGGTTCAGACAATGTAACCACAGGAAGACTATAAATCATTAGCTACAGCCTAAGAAGAGAAAGTATGAGTTAAGCTTGGAGTTTACTCACTTGGTCTATATTTAATCAAAAAGCTCAACCTGTTAGACTGAAGTTCAGGACTACAATCCAGGCAAGCTTTAAACCCATTCTTGCTGTAACAACAATAACTTTCAGGCAATTTTGTAACTGCTGTGAATAGGTTGGAAATGTTGTATTCCACAAGTACATCTGTTAGAGTTTTGATAAATAAACCTGACGACGTTACAAATTTTGATTTTAATGATACCAAACAGTGACTCCAAAATTCCAAACTATCTGAAGAATGAAAAGCAGTTGCTCTGCAGAAAATAACTTTCATGTCCCATTCTGTAACAGCTTTAATTGAGTGAGCTCAATACTGTTCTACATAAAGGCTTTTAAAAAGCCATTAATAAAAATGCAGTTCTGACTTTCCAATTGATATACAGTCATCTCCCATGACAAAAGCAGTACAAGGGTAGATTTTGAGAGAGTGTATTGATTGATGTCTGGTGCCTACCTGTCTACAGGTGAAGACTTTGAATTCCGTGGTTTCTTCACTTGGGCGTACAAGGCTTCCACTGTCTGCCCTTCCCTCGGGCTCTGTGGTCGGGTGTTCAGCATTATTGTGCCACTATTTGAAGAAGAGTCATAGGAAACAATCCCAGCATACATCGGGTCTGCATCACAGCCAAACGTCCGGTTCAAGTCCTGTATCTCTGCATAATCACGTTCTCGGGCTTGTCTCTCTCGAAATTCTCGAGTTTTTGCTTGAATTCTGAAAAATTAAAAGAAGGCCGAAACTGATGGGTGTCCCCTCCCAGGCATCTGAAAGCAGTTAGCATACACTTTAGGTAGCCTCTATTAATGAAAAACACTGAAGTGTTTCTAGTTTTGGTTTGCCGTGCAGTCTCAGGTTTAGCTTGAACACTGAAGCCTAGATCAAAGCAATGCTGCAATCAACACTGATCTTTAAGGAGTAGGTCTGATTGTCTATTGTCTTCTGTTTCATTATTAAGTTAAATAATGACTAGCCATAGCTGTTCATAAACAGAGTTTACCTGTTGTTTCATGCATTTTAGGATGCCTGTACTGTTACCTGATCTGAGAATGGCCTGACACCATTCACATTTTATTGTACTTCATCCAAACTGTAATGTTCTAATGCCTGTATTTAGAGAGGAATTTTAACACACTTTCTTTGCTTAATACTACAAAAATCACTCAAAACTGCGTAAGGATAGGATACACATATACATTTATGTATGCATGCATGCAGTAAACAGCAGAAGCAGATTTTTGTATGATTCATTTAAAATGTGTGTGAATGTAAACAAACTGCATCTGGCATCTCTCAAAAGCAGGAAGTATCTTCCCATAAAGTAACAACATGTGCCTTGTGTTAAAAGTTACAAATGAAAGGTGATGCTGTGCTGGGGGTTTGTATCTAGGTGCATTATTTTAGCCATATGATAGAAAGTGACAGATAGAAACAGATGACTTTAGGAACATGACAAACACAAATTGAGCACAGGTCATATTTTCAAAAGCACGCAAAGCTATTACAAAAATTTGATCTGGGCTTCAAAGTTTCTTTGGCATTTTAGAAAATTTGATGTATCACACACATGCACAGTGAACTGACCACACCACCCCCCTCAACATTGCTCCCCAGACCAATTTAATGCTCTGTCATCATTGCAAAATGAAGCACTCAGCTGTCTCCTCCCTTCCATTACTAAAAATGCACTCCTTTTTCATCTAATATAGCCATGGCTACAGTGTGACAGCATCCATCCATGAACTACAGCTCTGTGCACTGCTGTTGTGTGCCATTTCCAAAGACAGCTTGTACATGCACTTTCAACAAGAGCAGCCTATTCAAAGCCTCTGTCTCTTTTGAAAGTAAGCCTTGTCTCTTTTGAAAATAGAAAAGCCTTAAAGTTAGGTAACTTTGACATTCTTAAAAATTTTAAACTAGCTCCATTCAAGATTAGTTTTGTAAGCAGAAAAGGGGATACACAAAGGGTGGGATTCAGGCTACAGACAAAGACATGAGACTTTAGGTGCCTGCAGTAGGTGAGCTCACACCAGTCATGTGTGCAGTCTTCCTTTACAGTGCAGGGAGCAGTTGGTAGCAGACTCCAGAATTAGGCAGCTGCCACGCTAGTTGGTGCACCCTAGCATGAAATGAGCCGTTCTATAGACATTTTGGATGCTGCTGTTTAGGTCTTCCTTGGGAGCTTTATACACAGCCTTGATTCAGCTACTCAAACATAAGTAGCTATGGCCACCTAACGTCCCCATGTAATCCTGCTGGACTTCCAGCTCCTGGGCAAGGTCTCCCATAGGCCACGCTGAAGTCTCAGAGACTGTTATAACCCAAAAGACACAAGAGATCTGTGTTCAAGCATGTGAATCCAGCCCTGAGCTGGTATGTGAACATCATAAATGTTTCTTCATCAGACTGAGTCCCAAGCAAATTGTTCCTTTACACTAACTAAGATTGCCATAACAAAGGAAGGGAATAGAAGGATGGCACAGATACAGACATGTTTTCCCCCCCAAATCCTGTAAGTATTGACCAAGGATACTGATTTCAGATATAACTGATTGGTTGAATTCCCTTCAACAGCCACAGACATCTACATTGATGGTTCAGTGATCCACTTACATGCCACAAGTTATATCTCAGCATAATTCCTATTTTTATGCCTACTACCTCTGATTTGTGCACCACAACTCTCACATTCAGTCAGACTGGGAAAAAAATTAATCATAAGTTTCATTTAATCCTACTTAGTTTTAATTTTGCAAACAAAACTTATTTTCTTTACTGCTTGCTTTTAGTCTTAATACAGAAAAACAGGAGTAAAAACTGTAACACTAGTCAGCTGACAGCATGTTCCTCCACAATTTCAGCAACATCAAACTGGAATTTTTTTTATTTAATATACAGTGAAGGACTTGAGTTAAAATTCAAAACTCGTTTCAAATTTAAACTGTGTTTCTGCATGTCTATTTTTACAATAAAAATAAGTTTTACATTCTTATGTACATGTCTTAATCACTTGGAAGGTGTCTATGTAGAAGAAAAAACAGGTCTGAAAATCACCTGTGGTTGTTAACTTCCAATTTCTAGTCCTGTATTAATCACCCTGTTAAGGAATGCATTTGTCTACTGATATTTGTCCTCTGAATGGGAGAAGAAAAGAAAATCAGAAATTTCCTAGACACTGGTAGATTTAATTTTCCTTGAAATGGACAATGTATCATCACATACTGAACACTGAATTGAAGGAAAAAAAATCCATGCATTTTAAATAATCCAAATTTCAATGTATGGAATCAGACAGTATAGCAATAATGTGGCATAGAGTAATTCAGTCAGAATAAAACATTATTACCTGAAGTGCTTAGAAAATGGAATTACCTGGTGGTAACTGGCAATACTTGCCTTAGTGTTACACTAACTGCTATAACAGAGGATGGTGAACTCATGCAACTTTTGACCATGGATATCACATCACTCTCCACAGCTGTGGACATGAGTGTTCACTGGTTCATGTTAACCACCTTTCCCCATGCATCTGCTTATTGGCTCTTCAAAAGTTTGGACACATCACCAGTTGCAGCAAGAACATTCAGATTTCCCCATTCATGGCTTCATGAGGGATATTTATACCCATTCAAGTGGGAAAGAACTGATTGTTGAAGTGTTATGCAAATAATTATGTTCACATCCACCAGGAAACGTTTTACAATAGTTTTTACAATTGCTAATACAATGTGTTAATATACATACATAGCATTAAAAATCAGAGTCAAATGAATGAATGCTAATCTTATGAAACCTTCTGTTAATATAAACAAAGTACCTAGTAACCATTGCAATAACATTTAACAAAGGATAACCCTAAAGTGAAATGTATAAGATGTCCAACTATACTGACACACTAAATATTCTGATTTTTTTCTCTTAATTAATTTTCTGTGCTTTACATTTAAGCTACTGTGCCAATCCTATCACTGTCACATGAGAAAAGTATAGGTATTTTTGATTGCTTAACTTATTTTTGAATATTGTTTAAAATACAGATTGTTTTCGCCTTTTCCAGGACATAGAACATTTAAACTTCATGTCTCCCAACTTAAAGGAACCAAGAGACCAGGGAAAAATATGTAGGCATATTCTTGAAAAGAGTAAGAGCTATCAGCTGAAAATTGCACCATTCCTTTTGCAATTATAATAGCTTTTAACTCTGAAAGTATTTGTATATAAGAATCTGAACTTAATGTGATGCTATTTTTTGTTGACCCCCCTCCTTGTGCTCGTGTGTGTATATGCATGATATGCCCTAAATCATTTGTTAGCATACACCACATTAAGTATATATATATGGGAAATGCCAGTGCAGGCTATTGTGGGAAAGATTAAAATGATTATGTAAACAGACTGTGCTGAACAGATGAGAACCAAGAACTCGCTCTGTACTTCAGCCCTAATCAGCAACACTCCTGCTAGTGAAATCCAGTATCTGGAGAAGTGTTCCACCACAGTGCTTTGGTTTCATAATGTGCATAAGTGTATTAAGCTGTCTTCACAGAATTGTATTCCTTCATGACACGGCACAATAAAAATGCATCTGTCTGAAATTTCAGATCAGCTAATTTTGAGGATTTATGGCCTTCCTAAGGATTTTGTGGGGGTTTAACAGTAATAATAATGCTTAACATTCACATAACTCTTCTTGTCATCTAAGAATTGTTGCAAAAACTGCTAATCAATTTTGCAGTGTTTAAATTAAACTGAACTTTTAAAAATACAAAAGCCATCCCGAGAAGTTTCTAAAC